TCCCGCTCCCGCCGAAGTTTGACGAGCTCCTCCTGAATGGACGCATGGAGAGCCAAACGGGGGCGGAGGGCTTCGCCGGCAAGACGCGAGGCCCCCGCCGAGTACGGCGAAGGCGTTCGACACTGGCGCCCCGCCAAGCAAAGCCGACATGAGCAAAATGTTGAAGGCCCGTTCTCCTCGCTCCTCCTTTCCTGTCTCCTTGCCCCTCGTTTCCTCTTTCCTCGCCCCGTTTCCTAAGTGGACGGCCGCCGGGTGGCTCACCGCGGCGGCCGTGTCACTCAGGACAGGAAGTGGGGGGGCCCCCAGCCGGGATGACAGATGCCCCCCCACCCTGACCGTCATGAAGAGGAAGGAAACGGAAGACAGAGTGTGTGTCTTCTCCTGCAGAGTCAGGCCGGCGTCTTCAAACGACGAGGCGCTCATTAATCGGCGCCGCGTGCAAACGAGGTCACCGGCGCGCCGACCTTTAACGTGACGGCTGAAGGTCACCCGTCGGCCTTTAGCGCGACCGTCGAAACGACCCGTACGAGCGATTTGAAAGGGACGAAAGCAATCAGAAAACGGACTCAAAGCATCGAGGAAAAGCGATGACCCAAATTGACGAAAGACAATTTGGCGAAAAAGCGAGTTGACGGCCGCGGACGAAGGCCTCGGCTGGGAGGGAGCAATTCAAGGAAGCGGAGATGCACAAAGGCTCGGGCCCGCCCGGCCGGCCGGGGTCCTCGGCGCTTGGCCGGCTGCTGATCCGACGTCAGCTGTTCAATTAAAAGCGTCTCCAGCTCTAATCCCCCCCCCCCTCCCCTTCCGAGGACCCCCATTAAGAGCTACATTGACAATGACACGTCATAGATTGCTGCAGCTCCAAACAGACGAAAGACGAAGAGTCGAGGGCTCCGGCCGGAAAAAATAAATAAATCAAAGCAGACGATGAAAACGTGGTCTTTTGTGTGTGTGTGTGTGTGTGTGTGTGTACCTTGCCGGCCCCCTGCTCCCTCTCCCGCATGACTTCCTGTTGCAGTTGTCGACACTGCAGACAAGTGAAAGAGCGACGCCGTGTTAGCGCTGCACCGCCAGATGAGGGTCTCGCAATTTGAGCCGCAGAATAACGCCCGGGGGGGGGGGCTTCCCAACCCCCGCCCGCATCTTCCTTGACAATCGCACCATGTTTTTGGGGTTGAATCAAAGTCGAGTATCTTGTCGGCGGAGCCTCCAAACCCGACGCGGGGGTCACCGCACTCGACCGAAAGGCGGCGATTGTAAACATTTTTTTGCCCCATGACTGAATCCCCCCCCCCCCGCCCCCCGTAACCAGTGTGGTCCATTTGTTCCCCTCCGTACAATACATTTCAACTGAATTAGTGAACAAACTCTTTTTTTTTTTTTTAACCGCAGCGCAAATATTCAAGCGGCGCATCGTGTTAGCGTGGCTTCCGATGCTAATCCGTTTCACAACGGAGGTTTTGGGGATCAACACGTGGGCCTCGTGCGCTCCTGGATTTCACTGCGAGTCCTTATGCTGCTACTTGGATTGGCGAGGGAGGACCTGCTGTCAAAAGTTTGACAACCACCGATTGATGAACTGAGGACTTCCAAAAAAAAAAAAAAAAAAAAAGCGGGTTATCGTGGCGGTCGGGCAGGGAATGGAACCGGCAACCCGGCAGCAGCTGCACACATTTAATAAGCTTGTAATGACCCGATATGAGCTCAATAAAGGCTGGTGGGGGCGGGGGGGGCGGTGGAAGAGGCGCGACACCCCCTTCGTGCCAACCCCCCCCCAAGCCTTCCAATATTTCGCACAAGTCCCGGCAGCGGCGTCCGATAATCCCTGAGAGATGAGGAGAGGGAGCGAGGGACGGCGAGCGGCGGCGGGGGGGGGGAATCCTCCAGCATGGAGTGTTCTCTCTCTCTCTCTCTGGCTCTCTTTCTCTCTTGTGCTCCGCCGGGGATTACGCGCGCTTTGAAACATATTTGAGGCGGCGGGGCGGCATTAAGGTGTTACTGTGGAGGGTGGTGTTAACGCCGAGGGGCGGGGTGTTAAAAGACGGCGCGCCGCCGACACTCGCGGGACTTAGCGGCGCGCTCGGCCCGGAAGGCGGCGGGTTAATGGCGGCGGATGAAAGCCTCGCGCTCGGCGTCACCTGACAACTTTCCGCCGTCCCTTCAAGAAAGATCGCAAACAAAAGGGCGACGCCAACGGCCGCGGCAAAAGTCGAAAAGCAGAGTTTTGCTCATGGCTAGAAAATGAAAATAAAAACAAAAATGTTTGTGTGTGTTGTTTTTTTTGGGGGGGGGCGACCAAAATTGCTTGGGGGGGGTGGGTTCTTTTCCGCGACTTTGGATTTGAAACGACGACACGACTCGACCGACTTCCTTGTGAAACAGCGCTTCGCCTTTGTTTGCTCGCGCACGGCAACCAAAGACGTTCTTGTTTTGAGGCCTTCTCGTCCGGAGGGCGCAAAGTCGTCCGCGTCATTCCGCACTTGTTTTATGCAAATATTTGACTTGAAGGAGGCGCGGCGGCGCAAACACAAACCGCGTCGCGGGACGCGCGCGCAAACACACGCGCACACACA